AGCTAAATCCCCAGCCCCTCCCTCACCCTGTTTTAAAGGGCTGTGATGGGGTGGGTCAATTTCAGGCTAATGACTGGGGTTTTGCCAGCTTTGGGACAGACGTGCCCTGGCCCTGAATGACTGAGGGAGCTGCCTCCCCGCAGGGCACGGCACCTCCCAGACAAAGATCCAGCTCGGTTAGCCTGGGCCCCGAGGGCATCTGCAGGCTGAGCAAGAGGCACACTTTCTACCAAAACCGCCTCCGAAGGCGCCCACGTCCAGGAGGAAACACGAACCGTGCATCTGGTGGACGGCGGGGGGAGCCCAGGCATGTGTCCCTGTCCCTGTGGCGTCTCACTGTCGTGACCTGGTCATCCCTGGCATGGGGTACCCCCTTGTGCCCCACCGGGTCCGTGTCTCATCTGCGCCCTGGCCCGCACCCAGGTCCCCGGCCTCTGCCTCCCCGTCTCTGTCCCCCAGGCGGCCTTCTGCCGCTCTGCTGCCCCTCCTCAGCGACACCAGCTGTCTCCCTTGGCCGGAGAGCACAGGCGTGTGCGTGCGTGTGCATGTGCGTGTGCGTGTGCGACCGTCTCCAAGCCTCGACCTCTGTCTGCCACCCAGGGCTGTGACGCCACCTCGAGCAGCCTGCGTCTCCCGCCTGAGTCTCCTCCCCCACGGTCCTCCGACCCCTCTGCCTGTCCCCTTTCCCTGAGCGTCTGCCCCCTCCGCCCTCTCCGCAGCCGCAGGCTGCATCTCAGCTCCTCCCAGCTGGAGCCCTGGAGGTTGCGGAGACAGGGGCCTCCCCTCCACTGTCCCTAGTTCCCCAGGACGGTCCTGTCAGCTGCCTGCAGGGGGCTCAGCCTTGTCCCGCTGCCCTGCCCCACTGTCCCCTCCTGGCCTGCCCTGGGCTGCCCTGAGGGCCCGATGCAGCATTGCCCCCAAAGGCGCGCTCTCCACACCCAGAGCAGCGGCCGGGCCCAGGCCGCCGCCGGTCCCCCGTCCACGGAGCACAGGGTCGGAGCAGCAGCAGCAGACGGAGGGCTCGCAGACAAGCAGCAGCGCCCGGGGACCCCCGCCGGGCAGAGGACAGCGCTCAGCACCCTCAGGGACCCCGCACCCCAACACCAGCTGGGCCAGTATGGGGTCCCAGCACCCCGTGTCCTGGCCATGGCTGGCGACCATGATGTTAGGGGGGACCCCAGGCCAGCCTGGTCCACGTGACCCTCGGGCCTGGGTCACTGGGGCCCAGCAGCAGCATCAGTCAGGGCCGGGCAGTGGCCCAGGGCCCAGGCTGGCCGCCGCAGGCCGAGCGACAGCCACTGGCACACAGGCCGGGAGGGCCGGGCGGGGGTCCAGGCGGCAGAGCTGTTGCCCAGGGGTCGGCAGGGTGCGCGCGGGCGGCGGCCACAGCAGGGCGGCGGTGAAGATGAGGCGATGGCGCTGTGTCCACCCGGGCCCAAGACCTTCCTCTCAGCTCTGGCCTCCCGCAGCCCAGTCTCGCTCTGCCTCAGTTCACCCCGCCCTCCCCCTGGGTCCTGCGCTCACCAGAAGGCGGGCGTGGGTCCTGCGGTCCGGTCCGCGCAGGACCTGGTGGCCCGATCTTCACTGAGCACCTCA